GAATCCTTGGCTTTGTATATTATTATTTGAAACACAACAATATGAGTTCACAGCAAACAGGACCACTCTGCTGGCTGTTGTATTGGATTACACATCGGACACTTCCCAAGTGTCTAAGACTGTGTGATGTATCGGCGAATAATGCATGCAGATCCCAGTAAGGTGGCCTTTTGCAGCTGGCAGATGGTAATTTTGTCAGTGCCTATTGTGTTTAAGTGCAGGCCAAGGTCTTTAGGCACTGCACCCAGTGTGCTGATCACCACTGGGACCACCTTGACTGGCTTGTGCCAGAGTCTTTGCAATTCAATCTTTAAATCCTCATATTGTGTCAGCTTTTCCAGTTGTTTCTCTTCAATCCTGCTGTCGTCTGGGACTGCAACATTGACGATCCACATTGATTATTATTATTATTATTATTATTATTATTATTATTATTATTATAAAAACAACAAGATTAGTCCACAGTAAACAAGATCACTCTGCGAGCTGTTGTATTTGATCACACACTGGACATTTCCCAAGTGTCAAGGACTGTGTGATGTATCGGCGAATAATGCATGCAGATCCACGTAGGGTGGCCTTTTGCAGCTGGCAGATAGTAATATTGTCAGCGTCAATTGTTTTTAAGTGCAGGCCAAGGTCTTTAGGATCTGCACCCAGTGTGCCGATCACCACTGGGACCACCTTGACTGGCTTGTGCCAGAGTCTTTGTAGTTCAGTCTCATATCATGTAAGCTTTTCCAGTTGCTTCTCACAAATTTTGCTGTTGTTGTTTATTGTTTGCGGTTTTGGTTTTATTCTGTTGTAATTTGTTGTCTGGGCTTGGCCACGTGTAAGCCGCTCTGAGTCCCAGCGGGGAGATGGTGGCGGGGTATAAATAAAGATTATTATTATTATTATTATTATTATTATTATTGTTATTATTATTAGGCACCAGATCAGCACTATTCTTTGTTTTTCACAATTGTGCAGACAAGAATCTTGTGCTCCAAAACTCTGTCGGTCTGAATTCAGAAATGCCAGAGTAGTTTGACATGTTGATTTTGTGTAACTTTTTCAGACTTGTGATCCCACCAGTTAATTAATGAATGAATTAATGTTGTTGTTGTTATTTCTGATAGTTTGATGTATTTCATGTAGTTTTGTTTCATTTTATAAATGAAAGTATAAAATAGTGTGTATAAAATTGCATTCATGCCGGATGTATATGAAACATAATTTAATATTTAGACTCGGGTCCCATCTCTAAAGTATTTCATCATTACGTTTGTCTATACAAATACGTGTTTCCAAATTCCAAAATGCTTCTAGTCCCAACCATTTCAGATAAGAGATAACTAAATCGTAAAAAGACTATTGCTGAAATAAGATACGGATAAACCATTAATCTAGGAGCAACAAACTCTCATTTAGTGGTTTAATGTCCCCAAGAGCCCCTAAAATCACTTTTTTTTTTCTAATGGTAAGCCACAAATGGCATACCTAAATTATAGTTTTAAATCTGCCATAGGTCTAAATCTAATCTGCCAAAGGACAAGCATGTCACAAGACTGGAATATTTGTCGCGTTGCTCCAAACATGATGTCTCACATTTCATACTATGTTCAGGCAATATCCAGTAGTATAGATGCAAAATATTATTCCCATCCTAAAGTAAAATGCTTTCTAATTCCAAACTGCAGTGGAACAAAAATAAAATCTCATTTTGTCTCTTTTTTTAAAAAAAATTATATGTACTGGATCAGTGAGATGAAACTGGGGAGAGCGTGGATGGGCTCCCTCTGTCAGCTCCAGCTCCCCATGCAGGGACATGAGAGAAGCCCTTCCACACAACCATGTAGAATCATAGAATCAGAGTTGGAAGAGACCTCATGGGCCATCCAGTCCAACCCCCTGCCAAGAAGCAGGAATATTGCATTCAAATCACCCCTGACAGATGGCCATCCAGCCTCTGTTTAAAAGCTTCCAAAGAAGGAGCCTCCACCACACTCCGGGTCAGAGAGTTCCACTGCTGAACGGCTCTCACAGCCATCCCCTGGGCAACATCCTTGCAGATGGCCAATTCGCTCACACCAGAAGCGACTTGCAGTTTCTCAAGTTGCTTCTGACATTGGGGGGGGGGGGGAAATCTACGTTATAGAATTATTGGCACCTAAGCAAATTATGCCCCAACTGTGAAAGAGGCAAAAACTTTCTAAAACAGTCCCTAAAAATACTGAAATGTATGGAAATGAAGACAATTAGTAGCAAAGTACATATTCTTTAAACTGATCTGGAGAAGTCTATGGCCTCAAACTAATTTGTTTTGTTTTGTTTTGTTTTCCAGAGTACTGTGTATTGTAATATATGTATTTATGTGTTTTTACATAAGTATTTCATAGTAATGTGTTTAACTGTGTTGTATCCCAACTCATGAGGAGAAGCAGGTAACAAATGTATTACTATGATTATTATTATTGGGTTGTTGTGCGTTTTCTGAGCTGTATGGCCATGTTCCAGAAGCATTCTCTCCTGACGTTTCACGCATCTATGGCAGGCATCCTCAGGGGTTGTGAGGTCCTTCACAACCAGGATGCTTGTCATAGATGCAGGCGAAACGTCAGGAGAGAATGCTTCTGGAACATGTCCATACAGCCCGGAAAACTCACAACAAAACAGTGATTCCAGCCATGAACACCTTCGACAATACATCATGATGATAATGGTGATTATTATTGTTATTATTATTACTACTATTATTATTATCACTATTATATGATACACAACACAATTTAGCTGTAAATCGCCTAGAGCATTCTCGGATGGAGGGCGATTAATAAGTAATTAAATATGATGATGATGATGATGATGATGATGATGATGATGATGATGATTAGTACACAGCAAAAAAAGATCACTATGATGGCTTTTGTATTCGATCACACATCGGAAGTGTGACTGTGTAATATATCGGCAAATAATGCGTGCAGATCCAAGTAGGGTGGCCATTACAGATGGCAATTTTGTCAGTGCCGATTATTATTATTATTATTATTATTATTATTATTATTATTATTATTATTATTATATTTGCTACAATTATCCCCTGAAGACCATAATAATAATAACAATAATAGTAATAGTTACACATTGTCATACACCCATTATAGTAGTAGTAGTAGTAGTAGCCGTAGTAGTAGTAGTAGTAGTAGCAGCAGCAGCAGAGGATAATGATAATAATAATAATAATAATAATAATAATAATAATAATAATAATAATATCAGCAGAACCCTAAGGATCCAAATCAGATGGTAAAATAAAACAATAGAAAATAGCTTGTGTGTTGCGGAGGGAAAGTATATGTTTCTAAGTTCTACGTATTAATTCACACTCAAAGGGAGTGGAACTCTTAAGAATGAAATACATTCTAATTTTGTCTTCCTTTTCCAAGGATCTTTTAAAATATCACTTTCCTAAAGCTAGACTTCTACGACAGATGCTTTTCTTTAAATATAAATTGTTGAAGGTTATTAGATGCTGAATCAACACATGGATTGAAATGGAATCAGTAAAAATCCGCCTCATTCCACATATCAATCCTTGCCAAAGCTTGCAAATATGACTCTTTTGGGTTAATTCTCCTTTCAGCACCAAATAAAGTTATGACGGACTACAATTCCCATAAAGCCAGAAAAAAGACAGTTCTCATAAACTCAAGAAATAATAATAATGTCCACACTACAAAACTCTATCTTCACATTACAAATCCCAGAATGCAGGGGGGAGTTATTTTGGATCACAACCCCCATTAACCCACTTTTTTGACTCCTAGAACCCAAGAAAAATAGAACTTTTCATATTACAACTCCAAGAACCCCATAGAAAAGGTTATTTTGGATTATGATTTCCAATAATCCCAGAAATAAGCATACAAGAAACCCCAGAAAAATTACAACTCAAAATAATTTTCAAACTGCAACTTTAACTCTGATCCCCGGCAAAAAAATACTTTTGCTTACAATTTCAAAGCCTCCTAGAACCGCAGAAAAAGCCACAACACCCATAAACCCAAGGGAAAATCTTTGAAAAGGTAGCATTTTAAATTGTAATTGAACATCACTCATTCCAATACTTATTTACTATTACTAATTTCTTTAGTTTCAAGCATTTCTCTCCCGATATCGGGACTCAAAGTGGCAAACCACAAACATGACATGATGCAATTAAAACAGGGCATATATATTAAAATATGAATATAAAAATTTGGAAAACTGTAAAATATTTGCACCATGGATCAATACTTTTAATGGTTGTAACTATTTAATATAATAGACCTATGTTTAATTGTATTTTAGTGTTTGTATGTTTCAGGGCTTTGAATTGCACATAATATTGTTTTTAGCACAGTCAACCATGTTGAGTCTTTTTTAAGAGAGAAAAAGCAGCATAAAATATAAATAAAATAAAATAATTATTATTTTACATTGGTGATTATGTGTTTTCATGATTTTAATGGATTTTATAATGTTGTTCTAAATGTTTTTTCAATTGTATTTTATGATTATTATGGCATCGAATCGCTGCCAATTTTTAAGCCGCCTTGAGTCGCCTTTGGGCTGAGAAAGGCGGGATAGAAATATCGTAAATAAATAATAAATAAATATTATTTCATTACTATTACTAAAAAAATACACTCAAAAACTATACCATCCCACAAACTCCCAATCACCCATTCCTATGGTTCTATTCCTTTAGTCTTCCTCAACAAAAATTTGACTTTTACAAGCTTTAGGCCTTTTCATAGAAGCACACAAATGTTAAGAGCTATTCAGGACCCAGTGAGATATGCTGCTTTGAATCACGGTGGAATCTCCTTTTCTGGAGGTTTTTAAGCAGAGGCTGGATGGCCATCTGTTGAGAGGGCTTGGATTGTGTCTTTCTGAATGGCAGGAGATTAGATAGGATGACCTTTGTGGCCTCTTCCAACTCTAGGATTGTTAACACTTGGGAAGTTTCTTACCTAGGTTGCTGTGTCTGGCCGCTCCTGGGCTCCCGCGATTGGGCAGGTTGTGCAGCATGGGGTTCTCAAAGTGAGACGCAGTCCAGGTGGTGCCCAACTCGGGGCTCATGTAGGTGGCCGGGTAGGGGCTGGAGTAAGACCCCCCGAAATTCCGGGCGTACTGTTCCCTACTGTTGGCGGTGATGCTGAGTGAGCTGCTGTAGGCGGCAACCTCTCTAGAGGTAGTAGCCGCGATGGGGCTGCTGGTAGCAAAGGAGAAGCGGGGTGACACCGATGGGTGGGAGGACCCCGGGTTGTAGGCCACACTCTCGGCACTCGCTTGCGGAGTCCAAATGGAGTGACTGGAGACTGGACTGCCCTGCTGGGAGGAAGTGCTCCCCTGGAGGTAAGGCAAGCTGGAGATCATGGAGGTGACTCTGGTGGTGGGGATGTAGACCGGCGAAGCTGCTGCTGCGCTGTGCATGAAACCACTGCCCCCTTCGTAGGATGGTGGGCCGTGGTTGGCTGCCATGGCCAGACTCTGGTACATCTCAGGAGGGTCCCAAAGGGTGCTGGTCTACAAAGCCAACCCAAGGAGGAGGATCTCCAGAACTGGATTGTGCAGGAGGAGATCTCTCAGATGTCCCTCTGCTGAAAGATGAGTCCTGATCTACAAAGCCAACCCAAGGTAAAGGAGCTCCAGGAGTAGACGGTGTGGTGGGAGATCACACAGAAATCAGCCCTCTCAAAGAAGAAGTACAAGATGAGTCCTGATCTATAGAGTCAACCCAAGAAGGAGGACATCCAAGACTGGACAGTGTAGTAGAAGATCTCTCTGATGATCTACAGAGGCAATCCAAGGACCTCCAAGACTGGATGGTATGGTGGTAGATCACTCTGATGTCTCTCTGCTCAAAGAAGAAGTATAAAATGAGTCTTGATCTACAGACAATCCAAGGAGAAGGACCCCCAAGACTGGATAGTATGATGGGAAATCACTCAGATATCTCTCTGCTGAAAGATGAGTCCTGATCTACAAAGCCAACTCAAGGAGAAGGACCACCAGGGCTGGATGGTGTAGTGGGAGATCACTCAGATGTTCCTCTGCTCCACGAAGGTCTTAAGGGCCATGCACTTCCCAATCAGGTCCAGACACAATGGTTCAAGGTTAGAGTCGTCAGCACTTCTGAGCAGGGGCCTAGTGATGGTCCTCTCCGGCAAAGCTCCAGGCATTATAGGAGGGAGGTATCTTCAGCCACGCATGATCCACTCYACTTGGCTTCAACTCCCTAGAAAAGAAGGTAAAGCAAAGTCAGGCACTACAATACATRGAGAAACAGAAGCATGTGGTGAGCCTACTGAGAGCAAAACAGTCCTTGGTTAAAGGCAGCTGGGGTTAGGGTTAGGAAAGGCCAGGCATAGAGGTGGGAAGGCCAAAAGGTGTGAGACAGGCATCTCCAAAGGTAAACCCAGCTTCCTTCAGAGACTCCATTAACCAAACCTTTGTCCCCCAGTTAGGTACAAGTTAACCCAACTCCTTTTGTGTTGCTAATGGAGCGCCAGGTTTCTTGTTTGATCTGAAACCACATTGTCCCAGACAGCAGGGGATGTGGCGTCTACACATGGGCAAAGGGAGAGAAAACCCAATTAGGAGGATCCTGTTGGGAGGCAGACGACAGGGATGGGGCTTTATCACACCCTGGTCACACTTCCCTGTTACAATAACTGCAGAGTTTTGGGAAAACATTTCCATTCTCTCTCTCTCTCTCTCTCTCTCTCTCTCTCTCTCTCTCTCTCTCTCTCTCTCTCTCTCTCTCTCTCTCTCTTGGATTCAGGGTCATGCAGTTCAAAATAAGGACAGTTTCTGCACTTTGCACATGCCTCTTGTCTAGATTTCCTCCCCACATGGTTAGCCATTCTTGCCAGTAAACAGAAACAGAGTGGATTTCTGGGGATGATGATGATGATATTTATTTCTCCCCCACTTTTATTCCAGTTAAAGAAGGATGTAGGCAATAGAGGAGGCATGGGCAAATTTGAGCCCTCCAGGTGTTTTGGACTTCAACTCCCACAATTCCTAACAGCCGGTAGGCTGTTAGRAATTGTGGGAGTTGAAGTCCAAAACACCCGGAGGGCCCAAGTTTGCCCATGCCTGCAATAGAGTCTTGAGTCACCCATTTCGATGGAAGAACAGGTATAATGTTAACCACAACATCCAAGTTGCACACACATACAAAAACATAGATAATCACTGGCTCTGCACTGTAGAATTAATTTAGTTTGACACTACTTTATCTGCCACAGCTCAATGATATGATATGAGATTGTGAGAGTTGGAGTTCGGTGAGGCACTCGCACTCTTTGGCAAAGACTTCCAAAGACCTTGTAAGACTACAACTCCCACGGCTCCATAGCATTGCCCCGTGGGCAGTTTGAGTGGTGCCAAACTGCATTAATTCTACAGTGTAGACACATTCAGTGAGACATGGCAAACACGAAGGACAATATGTATAGGGTAAGTCTTCCTATTCTAAAAGACTTGGGATAACAAGTGTTTTGGATTTCAGAATTCCTGCATTTCCATATATGTACATTGTGAGACAATGCAGAGATGGGACTAAATACAATTCATTTGTAACATATACATGTTATGCACAGAATGTGATGGTAATTTCATACATGTAATATTATTTTGTGTATGAAACAATTTGTGGATACATCAAAGCATCGGAAAGCAAAGGTGTCCCTTGGAATATTTTGGATTTCAGAGTAAGGAAGACTCAACCTGTACTAGGTTCTTGTAGGTTTTTTCGGGCTATAGGGCCATGTTCTAGAGGCATTTCTCCTGACGTTTCGCCTGCATCTATGGCAAGCATCCTCAGTGGTAGTGAGGATGCTTGCCATAGATGCAGGCGAAACGTCAGGAGAAATGCCTCTAGAACATGGCCCTATAGCCCGAAAAAACCTACAAGAACCTAGTGATTCCAGCCATGAAACCTTCGACAATACATCAACCTGTACTTCTTGTGGCATCTTGCTTGAAAACACATATGCAAAATGTATATTTCTGTTGCAAGCTTGATTTGACATAAGCCCTTGTGAACTTATAGGTCTATTTCATCCAATGTATAGAGCAGGGGTCCTCAAACTATGGCCCAGGGGCCGGATACGGCCCTCCAGGGTCATTTACCCGGCCCTCGCTCAGGGTCAACCTAAGTCTGAAACGACTTGAAAGCACACAATAACAACAACAACAATCCTATCTCATCAGCCAAAAGCAGTCCCACACATCCCATTAAAAACTCCACATTTTCTGTTTTGAACTTGAATATATGGCAGTGTGGACTCAGATAACACAGTCCAAAGCAGACAGTGTGGGATTTTCAGCCTTGATATTCTGGGTTATATGGCTGTGTGGAAGGGCCCAAGGACACTTGGAACACTTCACATTATATGAGGATAATGCCCAATTCCTAAATTTCGGAATACAGTCAAAATTATTAGCAGCCCATGCCTTCAATCAGTGACATGCATAGTCTGTGAAAGTGACAGTTTTATACATGCAGGTATGCTTGCAATGCGCTGAGCATCATGCCGCAAAGAATGCAGAAGAGGCCACAGTGGGTAAGAATGGAAAACTTTGCTCACAACAGAGGCCAATTCAACAAACCCACATCTCCAGTGAACACAATTTGGGAAAAGTCAAGCTTTGGGACTACCAAGTCCTAGACTGGGGTTGAAATCCCTACTTAGCCATGGAAACTCAATGAGCCACACTCTCTCAGCCTCAGAGGAAAGCAAAAGTGACCCTTTGAGTGCTTCCAGGGAGATAAAGTGGAATATAAATAAAGTGTGTTGTTGTTGTTATTCTCCTCTGAAGAAGGATGCATCCACACTGGGTTGTTGTGTGCTTTCCGGGCTGTCTGGCCATGTTCCAGAAGCATTCTCTCCTGACGTTTCGCCTGCATCTATGGCAGGTATTCTCAGAGGTTGTGAGGTCTGTTAGAAACTAGGAAAATTGGGTTTATATATCTGTGGAATGTTCAGAGTGGGAGAAAGAACTCCTCACATTTTCCTCGTTTCCTATTTTCCAACAGATCCCTCGAACTCTGAGGATGCCTGCCATAGATGCAGGCGAAATGTCAGGAGAGAATGCTTCTGGAATATGGCCAGACAGCCTGGAAAACACACAACAACCCAGTGATTCCGGCCTCGTTTCCTCATTTCCAACAGACCTCACAACCTCTGAGGATGCCTGCCATAGATGCAGGCAAAATGTCAGGAGAGAATGCTTCTGGAACATGGCCAGTCAGCCCAGAAAACACACAACAACACAATGATTCTGGCCATGAAAGCCTGCAATGAAATATTGCATCTACACTGTTGAGTTAATGTGCTTTTCCTTGTATTTCTCCTGTACAGTGACTTGGGCCCCAATTTGGCAGTGTAACCCCATATAATCCAGTTCAAAGCATATAATGTAGATTATCTGTTTTGATTCTGTAAACCTCATGGCCATAAGAGTTACATCTAATCTGAGAACATGTCATTATCTGCTCACTTTTACAACTACCATTTACATTGTAGGATGAACGCAATTTGACTCCACTATAATGAATTTCTAATGCCAGGGATCAATGTTATGGAATCATGGGAGTTGTAGTTCATGGAAGTATCAACACTCTTGGGCAGAGACAGCTGAATAATAATAATAATAATAATAATAATAATAATAATAATAATAATAATAATATATTTGTAGACCTGGGTTGTTGTAGGTTTTTTGGGTTATATGGCCATGTTCTAGAAGCATTCTCTCCTGATGTTTCACCTGCATCTATGGCAAGCATCCTCAGAGGTAGCGAGGTCCTATCTCTCCAAAGGGATTAGGGCGGTTTCCAACACATATGGCAAACATTAAATGTCTTCAAAGAACATATAAACAAATTACATCAATGGATTGTTGTGAGTTTTTCTGTGTTGCATGGCCATGTTCCAGAAGCAGTCTCTCCTGATGTTTCGTCCACATCTATGGCAGGCATTCAATGGATTTCAATGGCTTCTCTATGTATTCAGTTTCACAGAGAAGCCATTGGACATTCCACAGATATATAAATCCAATATTCCTATTTTCCAACAGATCCCTCAAACTCTGAGGATGCCTGCCATAGATGTGGGCAAAACGTCAGGAGAGAATGCTTCTGAAACGTGGCCAGATAGCCCAATATGAATGCCTTTGAGACTAAATTACATCTAAACAAAAATACATCTGTTGGAAACTAGGCAAGTGAGGTTTATATATCTGTGGAATGTCCAATGGCTTCTCTGTAAAACTGAATACCCAGAGAAGCCATTGAAACCCATTGAGTCCACACTGCCATATATTCCAGTTCAAAGCAGATAATGTGGGATTTTATTCAGCTGTGTGGAAGGAGGCCCAGTGATTCCAGCCATTAAAGCCTTCCAACAATAAATCACATCAAAATAAAATATATCAAACAATATACAAGCAACCTAACTATAAACTTAATACCAATTCAAAATTAACAAAAAATACAACTTAAATAATCCATAACTGACATAACTATCTTATATAAATAAAAATGTAATGTTAATTTGTGGGATTAACATAATTCAAAAACCACTGGATGAATTCACACTATACCCCTAACAGACCAATGAGTGACCATCATTCATAACCCCCCCCCCCAAAAAAAAGCGGAAAGGACTTAAAACCCCCAAAAGCTAAATGAAGATACAGAAAGCCGGGAGGAGGGTGGAAGGGGGGAGGAAGGAAGGAAGGAAGAAGGAAGGAAGGAAGGAAGGAAGGAAGGAAGGAAGAAGGAAGGAAGGAAGAAGGAAGGAAGGAAGGAAGGAAGGGAGAAGATGGAAGAAAGAGGAAGGAAGGAAAGGGAAGGAAGGAAAGAAAGAGGGAAAGAAGGAAGGAGGAGAGAAGGAAAGAAAAAAAGGAAATGAAGGAAAGAGGGAGCAAGGAAGGAGGGAAAGAAGAGAGAAAGGGAGGGAGAAAGAAGAAAGGGAAAAGGAAGGATGGAAGCAAAAAGTGCGAAGGAAGGAAAGAGAGAAAAGGAAGAAAGGAAGAAAGAGGAAAAGAAGAAGGGGGAAGGAAAGAAAGAGGTAGAGAAGGAAGGAAGGAGAGAAGGAAAGAAAAAGTAAAGGAAGGAAAGAGGGAGCGAAGGAAGGAGGAAAGAAGAGAGAAAGAGGAGGGAAGGAAAGGAGAAAAGGAAGGATGGAAGCAAAGCAAAGGAAGGAAAGAGTATAGAAGGAAGAA